CACACTAAGTTTTGACCGCACCGTGTTTCGGAAAACTCAATCGTCACAACCTAAAAAGAGCTCACTCTATTCTCCCATTCTTCTCCTTCTCTTCGGCTGTACGTCCATCAACATCAGTGATGAGTACAAGCTGTAAAACAACACAAGAAACAACTTTTTCCTGAGCAGACTGCAGAGAGGACGCAGAATCTAGATTGCCCAAGTTGTACTGTGTACTGCTCTCTATCCATATCTTGCTTGTTTGTTTGTTTTGGTTAGTGTTTTACCACGCTCGCAACTGCATAAGGTCATATGAGTGCGTGGGACACACTAAACATTTTCAGTTTGGTAGGAAATTTTGAATTTTGCCCGGGTGGCTGCTGAAGCCTACTGTTATCGATTTTGGACCACCAAGGGATCTTTAACGTGCACAACTTGCACACGGGACTTCCGAGATTTTTCACCTTTGTCCGACAAGACTAGATGTAGATCTTCCCTACCATAAGATCAGGGGTGTGGCTGAAAGACAGCATTAAGAAGGAGCCAAGGTGAAGCAGTAGAACTAGAAAGGCTGCAGAAAGAATCAGGAGCCCAGAGAAGGGTACAAAGAAGGTGAGGAGAGGGTGGGGGCAGAAAGTGGAGACGAAAGCAGACAACAGAACATTCTTAGAGAGCAGGAAAGGATGTGAAAGGAGACAATTTCAGAGAGAAAAAAGTTTCCGTCGCTACCCGGATTCGAACCTGGGACATTTGATGAATGAGAGGCGAACACCTTAAACTCAAGGCCACGAGAGCCCCCTCCAGGTCTTGACTTCCTTGATACGTTCCAAAGGCCAACAGGGAGAGACAATATTATTATGGTCAATGCTTCTGGAATGTGTAAGGGTGTGCCTTAGGTCTACTATTTACAGGTGCGATATGACAACATAGGGATATTCACTTTATGGTAGGGAATCTTTGAGTTTTGAATTTTGCTTGGGTGACCGCGGAGAGGAATAATACAATACGATACCTTTGGCCTGGTCTCAAAGGAGTGGTCGAATTTTTCCCAAGACGACAATTAAAACTGCTTAGTTCTTATTTTATACTTAACTCTATCCATAGGTCGTGTTTTACTATCGTATCCGTACGACGTTTGGAATCCTGTGCCACCACTTTCTGAAGAGGAAAGTTACACGTTAATCCGTAGTAGAACACGACGTACGGATAGGGTTAAAGGTACTGGTACATGTGCATGTACTTGATGGTTGACTTGACCAGTCTGCTGCGTCGTAGAGTGAGTGAGATTTGTTTGCTCAACCCAAATTTAGATTGTCCTGAACGGGGCGACAAAGTACAGTGGAACTCTCTCAGTAATAATAGTGTAGTGTCAAAAAAGCACAGTGGGACTCTCTCGGTGATAATAGTGTAGTGTCAAAAAAGCACAGTGGGACTCTCTCGGTGATAACAGCAATGTCAAACAAGCACCGTGGAACTCTCGGATTCAACGAACTCGGATTCAACGAGATTTTAGGTCAGGCCGGCGACCTCGTTGAATCCGAGTTCTACTGTAGGCCTACTTGCTTAGCACTACTGTCATCACAATACATGTATTTAAATTTCTATTTCAATTGTCACCAAGACGACAATTAAAACTGCTTTATTTATATTGTATACTTCACCCTATCCGTACGTCGTGTTTTTAATTTTTCAACAATATTCCAATCACACATGTACCGGTACCAGTGTGTTTGGAATATTGTTGATTGACAATTTTGTGAATTATGGAATTAAAAAAACAACAACATTCAATTCAACAAATTTGGAAATTATCAGTAAACAATGAAACCTACCAGTGCTGCGGGAAAAAAATGTGGAATGGGGTAAAAATGGTTTCAAGTTTACAACAGAGAGAGCTGCTTCATAATATTGCTCGCATTGCATAGAGGTCTAAGTACACAAAGAGAGAGAGAGAGAGAGGGGGGGGGGGGAGAGGGGGGGGAGAGGGGGGGGAGAGTGAGAGAGAGAAAAGGGGAGAGATGGATTGAAGCAGACAGACAGACCGACAGACATACAGACAGACAATCAGACAGACAGACAAATAGAGACAGACAGACAGACAGACAGACAGACAGACAGAGAAACAGACAGCAGGAGGAGAAGGAGGCGAGCACCGTAAATAGGCACACTCGAACGTATACACATTCAGCAGATATTTTCCAAAAGACATACACGTACACGCATAATAAACATTGTCTTTCTTTACGAATAAGCTTTGTGGCCGTGTCAAGCCGCCTTTTTGTAGCCTCTCTGACCTAGTCTACCGAAATTATTGTAATAACCTTATACGGTATCCAAAAGACGAGAGAGGGTTGTTTTGTTGTAGACAATCTGATGCTCACGCAGTGTGGCGGCGTTTGTGTGTGTGTGTGTGTGTGTGTGTGTGTGTGTGTGTGTGTGTGAGCGTGGGAGCAAAAAGTCTACACCACAAAATAATTAATGTGAATTAATTTCCTTTCCTCCTGCTGCCCTCAACAAAGCCACAGCGCAACGCGGGTGAGCACACATTTCACTCTCACCTCTCGCACTCTCCCTCTCTTTCAACGTGAGCAGTTTCTAAAAATAGCTCGCGCTCACCCTGTGACGTGCAGCGAAAGTGTGACGTACATGATGAACTTTGCCCGCAGCGCAGGAGCGAGGCTTCGAAAATAGATCGATGACCTCAAAGTCGCCCTGCGAGTGAGTGCAGGATTCCCTGGCCTCGACATCATAGTTATAAATAGTAACAGACTGGAAAAGTGGTGAGTCGGCTATCCTGCTGTGCTCACTCAATCATTCACATCTGTTACCACTGAAACTTAGCTTTTTTCCTATTATTAACAATTTTTAAACAGACAAAACTAGATCTGAAGGGTATCCATAGCACAATGATAATATATTTTGACGGGGAGGGTGGGTCAGAAATGACAAACAAGATCGAGAGTGCTACTTTTGATGTAATTTAGGCCATTGGGTTTGTATAGTACATGTAGTAAACAGTACCGGTATTTAATTTTTATAGCCTTATATAATATATTTTTAATTGACTGAAAAATTGTTTTCATTGCTGTTCAAACAAAGTCGGTGCCCTTGCTTTTGCCTGCCTGCCTTTGACCTCAGTAAAACTTAAGTTACTTTTCTCTTCTATTTTCTCTTTCATGAGTTTGGATTCAATTGAAAGATACCCCCCCCCCCCCCCCCAACTTGATTTTTACGTAAGTCACGATACGATGCTATTTTTATTATATATATATGATTATCATCATCATTATTATTCTCTTACTCTGTAGTATTTAGAATCTAGCATGCTATCTGAATTATCTTTAGTATTATTATCAGCTCCCCAATTCGTTTAATACAAGTGGGATACCGGCAGCCTCACTCATGCTATATACATGAACATGTTTTGGGTCAGCAACGCATGAGAAGGCAAGTGAGGGACCAGTGGATGCCAGAGTGCATTTTTTTAAAAAAGGAGCCTAGAAAAAGATTGCACAGAGAAGAGTCAGTTTTTACCTTGTCAAGATAAAGAAGAAGATTAAAATGTAGGCCTACTGATCGTTGGTCTTTTACTTTAAGTTTTATTGACAATTGGCACATTTTTTACACGGCACACTTTTTACAACTCCTGTTCTTAAAACTTACAGGGCAGAATTTAATTAATTTAGCTTTGTCATTTTCTTGGGGGGGTCCTCGGAGATATTACTACAAAATTTAATAAAATCTAGTAAATAGCATCTTCTGACATAACAGGAATGATTAAAGTTTGACAAGATTAACTATATATATATAATGCCTTCCCAAATTTAACTTCTTCTGATTTCTAAAAGTTAAGAGGAGCTGCTACGTGTGCTCTGGCGTGACGTGACAGGGTTAAAAAAAAAAATTTAAAAACTAGATTAACACAAAAAAGGTGTTATAAATACATGAGTGTTTGCAATGATTTTAGATTGATGAACGTGAAGTATGAATGTACCGAGACATCCAGATGTCATGATACACACGCACAAGAAAGCTATTAATATTATAAGATAACGCCCGTTTTTGGCTGTCCTTGCCCTGTCCACTTCTTTCTGTCTTGGCCTACGTCAGAACGTCTTCAGAAAGTGAGAAAGTAATCTTTTGTTGATGTTTTGGGTTGAGGTCTTGGTTGCAGTTTATTGCAACACACGATATTGGATATTACTTTTTATTTATTACTAAATACTTGTATTACCATTTGGCCTTGCCTTTCTTCTTCTTGTAATTTTTTTATGCACATGATATTTTATTAGAATTTTATTTGTTCCTTTCCTTACGAGGACAGATCCCTCTACAGGGAGAAAAAGTACCGTGTATGATAAGGATCAATCAGCAGCAGCTTCTAAAAAATTTCTATTCAAGAAGGGTTTCGGGTTCAAACCTCATCAACATTTATTCTGTCTGTTGTTCAAAAGTGTTTGTGGTCAGACTTACTGTGGGTGGTGACTACTAGGGTTCGATCGAGTCCCTGGACTCTTCTGAACAAGAAGAATCGTTCTTGTTCTTTGCTAAAGGCAGGGCAAATTCAAAGCTCCCTGTCAGACTGCACTACAATTAAATGGTACCATAGTGCAACAGTCACTGCAACATTATAATGTATGTCAGGTGTATAGTTTAGTATAAAGAGGTATCTCTTCAACTGCAGTACTCGTCTGACTCATCAGCCTCATAAAATTAGTTGAGTACCGTTCCGGGTAGGACCTTCAATGATGCGTCTTCGTGTTGAGATTATAAGCAGTTGGAAGTATCAAGCCCATTTTATATTTCTCACACGTACAGGTGTAATTTGTAATAATAAATATATTTTGGTACTTGTGAAACAATCAAAGATAGAATGAAGAGATAGACAGACAGTTCAAGTAAAATTGAAATAGACAGACAGTTCTAGAAGTAAGTAGTGTAGTAAACATTGAAAAAAACACCAGGTTTATATTTTGCAACTTTGCAGTTCATTTTTTTTTTAGTTTTATTTTTCATTTTTTGTATTGTACTTGTACAGTATTAAAATAACAACTTTGCCAGCACATGGCATACCACAGAGTAGTAAAATTGACGTATACCACACGCTCACACAGGCCAAGAGAGGGCTTTGGTGACAAATGAACAAAATGCACAACACCAAAACAATGACTGAGAATGTGAAGTCATGAGAGAGAAAAACAGGAAAACATAGAGAGAAATATGGCAAAGTGGTGTAAAATGTATGAATTAACAGTTGAAAGTTAACACAACATTTTAAAGATGATGTACACTTATGAATACTTAAGTACTGACTGTATGAAAAGTGTAATGTTAAAGATCAGTTGAGGCTTGAGGGAAGGTTGACAGGTGAACAGAAGCAAGAGACAGTCCAGACAGTCTTTAAAATAATAATTGTCATCTGGATGAGAAAACTAAAAATGTAAGCTATTCTAAACATGGTTCTGAAAGATTTTCTTTAGCAAATTAATCACTGGCACAACATAAATCTCTAAAAAGCTAGAGACGATAACATTTTGGGTGAATACCATCAAGGAACCAGAGAAAAGATTTCGTAATCAAAAGATCACTCGCTGAAAATAAAAGAGAAGGGAATTGGCCAAAGCCAAAGCGAAGGTTTTTGAACTTGATCTGTGCCATACATGATGTTGTGGAATGAAGTCAGTACATCAATACTCTGAACACATTTGGTACTAATGTAATGAATAACTGATCCAGTATCAGTTGCTTTTACAAAGAAATAGACTTCGGAGAAGTAGATCTTGTTCTTTAGCAATCACATGTTTTTCCAACACAATACAATAATGTATTCAGATCAGACAATGGGAGGAGATAGAAGCAGTGATCTTTTTACAAACTGTACAAAATTTGGAGGTGATGATGAATGAAATAAAGATTGATGTTACTGGAAGATGATAACAGAACATGAAACAATTAAAAGTTTATGTCTAAAACAACTATCACAACATGCTTGGGAAATGTCTCTATTCTAAACAACAAAAAAGAAAAGTAAACAGTTGGCCTCTTTTGAAAGTGTATGCACATGGCAAAGCAAAACTGGCATTGTCAGCAAGTGATTATTTTAATTGAAAATAGTCTCTATAGATTATATATATATTATGACGATGAAATTTTTCAATCACAACTATAACTATCCACCAAACCCATTGTTGCAAAGACAAGGATCTGTGTGTGCTACAGCTACGCCATTCCATTTACCAAATATAAAAAGACAGTGAGTAGAAAATGGTGAAGCGTTATATAATATTATTCTTATTATGATACAAAAAAGCAGATTGTAAAGCTCACAACATGAGAATCTCAACATATGAAATAGAATGTACAAAATGATGTTTGAGTCAAGTTGGATTTCTCTGCTGCCTGTGGATGAAACTGTAGAGTAGACAGTGCCCAACGACTGGGCACCTGAACAAGGAGACAGTGAGGGCACAGGATGATACTTCCGATGAATTTCAAATGTGTTTACTTTCCAACCGTTGAATGTCATGTTGGCAGAGTAATGTCTTTAGTTCAGAGTACAAAGTCCTAATTAATATCTTCATCCATAGGTCAGGAATCACCCATCAGCTTGAGGAATTCATCAGGTATAGAAGCACCAACGTTCAAGAAAAGTCCTTTGAGAACATTCAATTCCTTACTGAGCAAGTCTACTTTCTTTTGCAACTGGTCATTTTGATCGAGAAGAGACTTCACACGACCCTCTGTTTCACGCTGCTTTTCCTTTGCCTTTGCACGGCTTTTGCGAACTGCAACATTGTTTCTGGCCCTCTTATCCACGTACTCCTGAGTTCCCTTCTCCACCTGACGTCTGCGAGACTTTGTGGAGTAGGGGGCTGCGGAGCCATGTGGGCGTCGCCCTCGACTACTGGGGGTGGAGGGCCCTGGGGTGCCAGGACTAGAAGCTGAGTATATCGTAGATGTTGGAGATGGGAGTGAGGTGGTGGGGGAGGTCACGTAGGGCAGTGAGGCTCCATCTCCCCCTATCGATGAGGGCACAGATGTGTGAGTGTGAGGATGTTTAGCGGAGATGTGGCATGGAGTAAATCCAAAGTCATCTGTCCTGACTCCGAAATCTTCACGTTTCACTAAGTTTGGCCATTGAAAACCACTGGTGCTGGGAGCATCCACCCCAGGAGAGGTCAACTGGCTGAACTCGGGCATTTGTTGCGTTGCTGAGTTGCTGTCGTCGCTGTAGTAGCTCGTCACGTCCGACTGCTCCGGGCTTTGACCACTCTCCAAAAAGTTGACCACCGGAGGAGGCAGCACTGACCCTTCACCAGGGTATTTCTCCTCGTGCACGAGGGCCGTGGCGTCCAGCACCACTTGAGGTAGGCTCTGATGTTGTAGATCCGTGGGATCTGGGGAAATGTGAGTAGAAATAATGTGGCTGTCCAGGGAACTGTTTGTGGGAATGTATTCACTCAAGTCTAAAACTCGCTCCAGGATGGGATCGAGAAGATCTAGGGGTGCACAATCAATTGACTCCACGAACAACTTTTTAGAAGTCAGCTCACCTTTGTTTGTGCTGAAGAAAGTCTGCAACTCGGAAAGCTGAAGTGAATCCATCAATTCACCAATGCTTGGGCATTTCTGACCACTGGTGTTCAAATCTTCAAACGAAGAAATGTAGGTTGATGTAATCGGCTCTATCTTGGCGGTTTGCGTTACCCAGGCACTGAAGAGATCGGCAACAACTGTCTGTTGTCACTGTACTAGGGGAGACACTTAGATTATTTTTTTATCTCTCGGGTTTTCGTATTGTGAAATCACTGGCAGAGCTGTTGAATGTCAATCCAAGCGGCGGAGGAACCTTTTATATCAAAGTTGGGGGAAGCCTTGACGTAGATGCCACTCCACATATTCATACGCGTTAAGTTATTTTCAGACGCGCGATATTAATAGCTTGCTAATTATAAGAATCTTTCTGTGATCGTAATTTTTTTCTAATTTCCTTTGTAAGATATATACAGGTCCAATAATGAAAATTTGATGAAGATTCAACTTATAAAACGACAAAATAAGCATATAAAGGAAAAAAATCTACGCGGATTTAGAGGAACATACCTACGTGATTTGGCGTCTAAAAATATAAAAAGACGTCATAGATACTTGCTTTCTATTGGTCCATTTTATGACGTCAATTTCGTCCTTGACCGTGCCCTGGGAACCTCGAGGAAATTTACTGGCTCACTATTGGCTCTTGATTTCTTGTTGAAAAAGGGGCGGGTCAAAGGGAAAGTCCTAATCTAAATTTAGACAATACAGAGCTGGTCGTTCGCCTCTGTCAAGGTGGAAATAAGATATCGTGAAAAAAATAATTTTGTTAAATTATTTGCTTCAATACCTCTGAACAAGTGAACACAATGTTCAGTTATCGTACAGAAAATATTTCTAGTATATCAATATTTGATGCGGTCTTTTTACTTCGGAATGAATGCGTTATTCTATATATTTTCATTGGCCGACTAAGACGATTGCATCAGGTTTTGTTACTATTTTTAGTACTTAGCTCGATAGGAAGTTGATGGCTGTCTTGACATTTTCTTCACAGTTGTACACGAATTATTAGTTCTCTCTCTTGATCTTGTTGATCAAGTTATACACGAAGTTGTGGAAGGACGGGAAGCGTCAGCTTTCCTCTTCTGTAAGTATATTTTTGTGAAATGTTGAAAGTTATAGACCTGAATGAATGTAAAACCATTTGAAGTGAGGTACCGGTGCGTTGTCAAATGTTGCGCAACACCCTCCACTCAACAGCTGATGGTGGTTGATGAACACACTACGCTGCATCAGTTCCGCAAAATTTGTTTAGAGCACACTCCTTTTCCGAACATTCATGATTTGTCCTATTCCCCAATACGGTAATGTTTGGGCTAGCTCTCAGTTTGGTTTGGTGGGGAACACATTCGTTTCAAGAATGTAGAGGAAGTGGAGAAAGAGATGAGAGTCTCGTGTCGGTGGTGACTTGACTTTCACTCCAAAGCTCTGTGCATGACTTGGTAGGGTCATGGAGATATGACCCATATCTAAATTTTGGTACTTTATCTTTACCTTTTGTCTTGCTGTAAAAAATCACCCTTTGCTGTTAAAAGTATTCAGTTGCTTTACCGGAAAACTTTGTACTAGAATCTACAGTATAGTCGCAGCACAGGGAACCGTAAGAACCACTGGAGTCTGCTAGACTGCTTTTAAAAATTAAATATTCACCTGAACGAAATTTTGTATCTGATCTCTTTGTACTGCTATTTTCGGATAAACCAAGCTTGGTTTATAATGCGGAGTCTACCTACCTCTATGTATATAAAATGCAATGAAATCATGTTCTCTGTTTGCTGCCAATAATTCTACTTCCCTCTTCTATTTATCCTACTTTTTTCCCCTGGCGTCTCCATATTCTTTATTTTTTATACTTATATAGTAGTTATAGGAGGCTATAGGCCTATTCTATATATTACCATCAGTTCACTTTGGCAATGCAATCTTTTATGTAATGCGATTCAGATGATTTTATGAAACTATTCAGTTGCATGATCAGTGAATTATGAGGTGCATCACCAACCCGTGCCGTAGGCCCAGCTGACAATTTCTAATTAAATAACTAGCTGGGTACCCAGTCTGATGAACGGACTCTATTATCAGGTCATTATGGGTTCAGTGTTCACTGCATGTTAACGGAAGTCTCTTTTTTTATATCGTGGAAAAAAAAAATGTCTTGAACACTGCATTGTAATGACGAACGGAAAAATCATCAGAGAGTGTTTTCTATTTGTTGTAAATTTTTCAGGCGAATGCAAGCACTTACTCTTTAAACTGAATTGATAGAAACTTAGCTTGGTTTTTGAACTACCTTCAGTAATTTTTTCGTCGTTCTACGGTCTGTAGTTTTTGCAGCTACCGGTATAGAAAACAACCATCCACATGTACGCAATTATTGTGTGCATATAGATTATAATATTTCTATGCCTAAGGCGAGACAATTTTAGGATTAAAAGATAATCTTTGCGGCAGAATAAGAGTAAGAAGGGTTAAGTTTCGTTCTGAATGTTGAACAAGTCCAGCTTTTTTATTTCGTGTGTCATGGTTGCAGGATTGCTGGTCGGACGAGGCTGCGAAATAAATGTATTAAATAATTGGCATTATAAAATTGTTTTCAATGGGAGGCCTGTTTTTTTTTTTTATGCACTGAGCATCGTTAGTTTTTTTGCTAGTCTAGGTTATAAAAATTGCCTCTTCTCAGAGAAGTTTTTTAAGGGAAACCACAATTTCTTCACCGCTTTGTGCATTTTATTTTCTCCAGGTGTTGAAGATGCCACCAAAGAAGACCTATGAATCGTACGAGTCTGACTCTGACGGGGACTCCCAGCAGAGCCAGACACGTGGCGGGGGTGGAAAGCGTCAAAAGCTGGACAAAAACAGTGACGAATACAAAAAGCGTCGAGAGCGCAATAACGTAGCAGTTCGCAAAAGCCGAGAGGCCAGTCGTCAGAAAGCCAAGGACACAATGGAAAAGGTGGCTCGCCTGAGGGAGGAGAATCGGGCCCTGGAGCAGAAGGTGACAATTCTTAATAAAGAACTGGGCGTGTTGCGGGATCTGTTCCTCACACATGCCTCTGCGACGGCTGCGGCTCAGGCTGCTACTGTGACCAAACTCTTACCAAAGTCGGAGGTAGAAGAGGATACAGCTTCAAAGGACAGCTCGGAAAATTCAGAGACAGTGATTAAAGATCATAAGTATTTTGTTACTCAAAAGGATGCCTGAAGTGTACGCAAATGGCTGAGTTTGTGAATTTCTACCTGCTGAGGTTAAGATGGCAAAAGCAAAGTGTTCCGTCTTTGAAGTGCTTATCATTCCGTTCATTTGTATGCCCTTGTGAAAGAAATCTTGGGACAGTAGGACTGACAGCGTTGAAGACAGACCTTGAAACTGTAAGTCATGAGTGCATTGTGCTGTAACGTCAAGGTGAAACATGATGGTTCTGCTACTTATATATATATAATATACTATAAGTGAAAATGAGAACCTTGAATATTTTGTAGTGTTTTGTTACTACTATACCCCTGGGAATCCTAACTCTTGCCCTTCCTCACCTCCTGAGACTTTTGTTTGCATTCTTTGCAGTTATCTATTCACCGCAAGTTCTGTGGCCATACTGAGTGAAGAAAAGTGTATGAGAATCATGATAAAAATATATGGAAGTGGAATAAAAGAATGACACTACTAATCAATAATTGAGCTGTCACTGTCATAGGCAAAGATCTTTTTTGAATCCCAACCCTATTCTAACATGAGAGAGCAAGGCCATTTTGCTCCTGGGAGCCTCTATAGTTTTTATGGAAGTTGAATATTTTGAGAAGAATCACCCACCCACCCACTTTGGAGACAACACTTGATGTTACTTTTGGAACTATTTCTACTATTAATATAATCAGATGTCTTGGAAAAAATGTGGTGCAGCTGTTTGCTGTCCTATTCCCAGTTATGGTGCCTTTTGACCTGACCATGCTGTTTGTGCTATCTTTTTAGAATTGATTCGTATTATGATTATTTAATACGGATTATTAAATATCATGGTATCATTGAGAGGTGTATTGCAGAATCATATTTTTTTCAAAATCTTGTGTTTTGTCAGATTCGTGGACCCTACGAGTTAAAATACAAATTTGTTTCTACTCTTATTTCGTGAGGCAACTTTTAAGAAAAAATATGGAGCGAGACATTACAAGTAACATTTTTCATTAGAGAATCTGAGACTTAGTAACTTAAAGAAGTTTATATCCGTGGTGTCTCGACTCAAAGAGGTCAAAATTGGACTTTATAAAGTTGTTTCTCAGTGATATTCGCAGATTTTTTCCTTTATAGAAAATTATTGTTTTCCAGTTTATTTTAAAAATCATGCAGAGTCCTGCTCGTGAAGGTTATCCGTTATGTACTTTACTTGATGTAGATAATGTAATGTTTAGAGGAAGTAATTAATTACAAGCTTTGGGCCACGACTGTGTTGCTCACATTCTGTGGCACATTGATGAAATTTCATTTTCTTTCATGGATTATGATGTCATTTATATAGGGCATATATCATCGTGATTCACTTTTCAGTTTTTCATTTATAATAATTAATATGTTGTTGAACTAAACTTTGTACCTCTACAAGTGTCATAATTTTGTAATTTACTGTTTTGGATATGACTGATTGATTTTTGGATGTATCCAGTGCAGGGGACCTGCGCATTTATTGAAATATTTGTATTATGATACACACATGTGTGTGTGTAAAAAAAGCTGGGCCTAGTTCTGGTGCTTTTCATAAATTTTTCAAAGTAATTTAGGCCTGCCTTTGTCGTCAGCACAGAGTAAAATTTCTGTGCTGTTATCCTCTGATAAAAACTGCTGTTGGTTTTTTCCAGCTTTTTTTTTTAATCATTTGCCTTTTTTTATGTAACATCATTCACCCCTCCTGGATGATCTTACGCAAAATCCTCGGTCAATTCATTCTCGCCTTTTACTTTAAGGAGAGAAGATCACAAAAAGGAACAAAAGAATTTTTTAATGAGCGTTGTTTATTATTATGATCATCAAAAGTTTGTCATTGAATTCATTCATATTTCCTGACACTTTGTGATTGAACATTCCATCATTTCACATGGTTGTTTAACTTTTTTTCTACGTGGTTAACAAGTGTGTTCAAGACATTTCATCGAAACACTTTTGGGGGATTGGGTTTAAAGCACACAACAGCTGATAATATACTGTGAGCATATTTGTATCATGCACAATCGAAACAGAAAAACAAAATGTATGTTTCATTACAATAGTTATTCATAGGTACTTTGTATTGGTGTAATATTTTATGATGAATTTTATTAAATATTACATAATATGTGCAGACTTAAACTTGATGTATCTTCATTTCAGTTTTCAATGTTTCTACTTCGAAATCATTGCTTATAATAATGCTGTTTCACAAAGATCTCTTGTATTGGGTTTACCTTTATATTCAACTATTTCGGATTAAGGCTCTCAGCTTTGAGCAAATATTATAGTTTTTCTTAATTTTTTTTTGTAAGGGAAACCTTAAAATTAAAACATTGGATGCCATTTATGCAGTGCTTTCGGATACCGGTAAATGTAGAATCTTCAGCGCCATGAATTTTGTCTCCTTTCATTGTATGTGGACATGGTGTAGAAGAAAGCGGAATGAGAGAGGGAAAGTGGAATGCAATGCTAGCTACCTGACTGAATAAAAGTGCAATGAATGTCAAGTGTTCTCTTGGAAGTAATGACGATACAAGGGACTGTGCTGCTTTGGAGTGAAAATGAATAGACTATTTATGCATTGCTATTGGCTCCATTTTATCAATAATGTCGTGTTTCATTGATCACCGACTCCAGTTTTCCCCAATTCTCAAGCTGCATATCCAAAAATGTAAGATGATACGACTTAGCATGCAGTTGTATTTTTCACTTATATGGTGTGAAGTGTGGATGCGAAAAGTTTTGTGAAAATCAGTCCGAATGTAAAGCTCCTCTATGGAAGCTCTGTTATTGTATACTTTTGCAGACTTGCGTATTGTGTGACTGTGATTGTGCACAAGACTTTATGTGGGTGCCATGCCTGTCTTTAGGCAGACGTGTCACAAGTGTGGGGTCATTCTCATCCGGCAATAAATAATACAAAATTTACACCACAGCATGTTTGGCAGGAGCTGCACTGTTACTGTTACTGTTACTGTTCAAAGTTACTGTTGGAAGGAAAGGTTTTCTCTCTGAGAGTGGCCCACAGTCACTATCTATCTGTCCCCGCGGTTTTATTGCAAAAAAAAATAAAATTCTGAAATTATGCAAACTGAGCCCAAAAAGATCTGAAATTATGCGATTCTGTCAATTTGAGCAAGAATGAAAAGAATGATAAAGGAAAATAATCAGAATGCAAAGAATGACCAGATTTTGGTAGATTATGCGGGGTACAAAAAACCGCGGGGACAGAAATCTATGAACAAGCTCATAGAATTGTGTGTTTAGCATCAGAGTTTAGAATCTGATGGATTAGCGGTTTGTTTTTTAGATGGGAGGAGGGAGAGGATTTATTATGTTTTTTCTAAAGACCAGTAAGTTTCTTTGTTTTATTCGTTTTATATTATTATTATTTTTCTAATGGCCTACTCCGAAGATGTCTTGGACATAACCAGGGTTTTAAAAAATGTATTGGTTGTTTTTCAAGGCTTGATTGTTTCTACGATGCCCTACTGGAGTTTGTCTCATTCAGAGACATGAAATTGTATTCTTTTTTAGTTTAATTAGTACATGATTTATTTGGTCTCAGTCAGAGATATATATTATATTGATTACACAGTATAAGTTGGGTCCTATCTCTATAGAGACCTTGTACTAGATACCTCACCCCACCCTTTGCTTTTGCTGGGACTGTCCTGTCAACGTTTTCAATAGAACTGTCCAAATGGTCATGGTAGAATTTAAAGTTTTATGTGTTCTTATTTTACTGAAGATGTATTCATACTTTCTGAGGTCAAACAAAATCATATTTGCTCAGCTGTGTAGATTATACATTCTTTGTTTTCCACATTACCTCCAGTGTTAGAAAAGGAAGTTTGGCACCACCAACAATCTCAAGTTTTTTTGTATGTTCTGCGTAAAGGCAGAGGAGAGATGTACACATTTACAGTTTTCATACTGACAACTACCCTCAAACATTTGTCATTTTTTTGAGTGGATGCAAAAATAACCACACCGCTGTTCAACACAGGCCCTGCATCTTGTTCACAGAGTAAGATGTGTGATTGTGATCTCAGCGGGTTTTCTAAGGAGGGGACTTTTTGTCTGGTTTGGTTGTCGTGTAATTTGAATTCAGTTGTTTTGTAATGGATGTCAGCCCACTGGCACTGGTAGGCTTATTATATCATAAAAAAGTGATAGAATCAGGAGGAATTGTTTGGGTGGGGTACTCTACTGTAGTACTCAACTCTCTAAACCCCATCGGACACTGGGAGAGTTTACTCCCCGGGGCAGTGCCACTGACTGAAGTGTCTTTAGGCCATTCCCAAAGGGGGGACATTTCTCGTTCAAGCATAGTAGAATTGTAAAAGGACTGACTCATGTCACGCTCATAACTGTGCCTGATCAACAACAGGGAACTGCTGCTTTTTCTTTCCTGATCCTTACTATTGTCATTTTCCTCTACTTCTTTTGTATGTTTGTCACTCTCTTGTGACCTGCTATTTTGGGGTGCCTTGATTATGATAGTCGAAGCAGACCTTGTGCTTTTGAAGCTAGAGAGGTGAGCAGTCTAAGTTTGATTCCCTGTAAAGACTTCTCTGTTGACACCCATTCCTTGGCGCTCTTTTGACCTTATGCAGTTGCGAGCGCCGTAAATCCCTCTACTATAAAATTTAAAAAACGGGAGAGTTTGGCGGTAACAACCCTGTTCACCATCGGACACCAGCGTCTGATACTAGTGGCAGCTGTTTCATTCTATTTAGTATTAGTTTTTGTTTGTTTTTCGGAACTATTCCCAAACCAAGTTTTTTATTAATGACTTAACCTTTGTTTCCGCCATTTAGAAGTTGGAGGCAAGCTTTTGGGGTTATAACGAGACATGTTGCACCAGGTTTAGGTGACTGTAGAAAAAACTCCTGGAAATGGTGGAAAAAAACTCAGGGTTTAAAGAGTTAAAGGTTAGGATAAAAATGCTAGTTTAATGTTATAAATAATGAGTTTTCACATCACAGTGACTCATTTCGAGTTTGACTGTTCAAATGTACCGTTATGAGTGGTCCTGGGTTACGTCCTGTGAGAGGTACATCATTGAGGAGCGTTTAGTCTTAAACAGTTGTACTGGTGTCGATGGTGGAGTGCAGTGGTTGTACATTTCACCACGGCATGCAAAATAAGTGAGTTCTATTCTTGTGTGGAGAACTATTTTACTGAGCATCTCCATCTTTCTGCAGGGACATTTCGTCTGCCACAGCCTGGGTTGTCCTGACAGGCAGGATTGAAGCATCCCACCCTCTAAATTAGGTTAATTTTTTTTTAATAGGCGCTGAAAAATCATTCTTTCAGTTGTCTTTGAATTTCTTTGTTTTTTTGGTTTTTTTAAAGAAATAATATTGGCATTATTGGTCATGGTGCTGCCAGTATGGCCAAACTTATTTTTTTTTTACACTTTTGAGAATATGGAGAAAGCCAGATTTATTGTTTTATATAAAATACACTTTTAATTTAAAAAATGGGGGTGTTTAAACTCAGGCTAACCAGTAATAGTAATAGCCCGGCACTTTTGAAACATTGTGGTAGCAAATGATGTACCGTGAGGAGAGCCATAGTGGCAGCACAATGACCACATTTCCTTTTATCCTATTTTGACCCTATCTGTATGCCCTGGGCTCATTTTGTACCCCCGGGATTGTATTCTTTGCATTTTAGAATACTTTAAGTAGGTATGAAGATCGCTTTGAAACTTTCAGTATTTCTCAAAAAATTATTTTGACAGACTGACGCAAAGCGTACGAGTAAATTTCCTCTTTGAAAGTGGTGGCACAGATTTCCCCATGTCGTATGGATACGATAGTAAAACACGACGTACCGTACGGATAGGGTTAAACCGTTCTGAAGTTATTGAAAGTCAAAAGTTATAATTTACAGATAGTTTTTATGAAATGTTTTCTTTATTTGGTTTGTATGCCTATGTATGTATTTCTTTGAAAAACGATGATGACCTTGGTGTTTTCCGCCGATAAATATTAAAAGGCAGTTTTGTTGTTCATGCACTGACACACTGATTTTTGGTCTGCTCTTTTAGCTGTTTGCGTTGATGTCTTTGTTTTGGGTGGTTGGTGGGTGCTCTGATGTGGTTTGCTCCTTCTTTCCTATCAAACATCTATCGTCTTTATCTCTCCTCCTTCTTTTTTTGTGTATGTTTGTTACTCCCTTGTAACACCTCTAATCTTCGGCACTTGTTTGACATTATTGTGTTGCAAGTGCCGTAAAACTCTTACTATGGGCGGTTGGTGGGTGCTCTGGTGTGTTTTGCTCCTTCTTTCCTATCAAACATCTATCGTCTTTGTCTCTCCTCCTTCTTTTTTTGTGTATGTTACTCCCTTGTAACACCTCTAATCTTCGGCACTTATTTGACTTTATTGTGTTGCAAGTGCCGTAAAACTCTTACTGTGGGTAGTTGGGGGTGCTCTGGTGTGTTTTGCTCCTTCTATCCTATCAAACATCTATCGTCTTTGTCTCTCCTCCTTCTTTTTTGTGTATGTTACTCTCTTGTAACACCTCAAATCTTTGGTACTTATCTTATTGTGTTGCAAGAGCCGTAAAACTCTTAGTAAGTATTGAAAAAGTAAAAATAGACGTTGGGATCCAATCTGCTTTTTTTCTCGTGCCCAAAGCACGTACTGAAACAGGAACAGTCTTTTGAAGAAGTAATGCACGGTCCTGTGCGCGCAAACTTTGTCCAAGTTCGACATGTCTTTCTGCTACTCGACTCCTAAAAGTAAACAATTTCCAAAGGCTTCAATAAGCACACTGTCAAAGTTCAAAGCGACATCTACGAACTTGTTTTACTTTCTCAACTCCAACTAGCCTCATCATGATGAGCTGGTCAATGTCACTGTACCAGGCTCCCTTGCCTTAGCCTTAACTCTTTCTGTCCACAAGAGATTCCACAATTTTACGCACCCAGGCGCCTAGTGTGTTACCCTACATCGGCTATAATTCAGTCAGATATTAATACTAAATAGAGCAGACCAGGTCACAATCTTTAGACTCCGTTGTGGCCACAACAGACTCAAACACCATATGCACACCAAATTAAAAGTGGGAGAGTCAGCGATCTGTGAATGTGGACACGACCAAGAGGATGCCAACCGTGTCCTTCAGCACTGCCCGCGCTACGCCACCCTTCGCGCACAGATGTGGCAGAATGTGACTCTCCTTGAGAGAAACTCTATGGCAGTCTCTCAGAGTTGAAACGAACTGCACAGTTTGTGCGCGACATCGGACTGACTGTCTAGCTGCTGTCATCGAGAACGAGGAAGAAGAGAAAAAAAGAAAGATGGATTTGTTTGTGTGTAAGCACTCAAATTAGTCGTAATGTGGTAGAAATCGCGATATGGGTGAAAATAGGAAGCAAATGTAGAAAAAGACAAGGTGCAGGTCTTATTGGCGTTGGCGTGATCGATGCCCCAAAAACACCACTTAAGTGGCGACCCGCAATCATAGAGTTAAAGACTCCTTCAAAACCTTTTTCTTTCCTATCAAACATCTATCGTTCTTTTTATATCTCCCCTTCTTCCTTTTTTATGTGTGTTACTCTCTTGTAACACCTCTAATCTTCTGGCGCTCATATGACCTTAAGCAGTTGCGAGCGCCGTAAAACCTCTACTCAAACTTTTAAAAACCTGAATTGAAATTTAATAATCGAATGTCGCTGTTGAAAAAAAAAAAGCAAAAAAAAAAATTGTGGCTCGTGCACATTTATTGCGGAGACACCGTCGTTTTCAGAGCTATATTCTTACCTGTAGGTTATTGGCGCATGCTCTTGTGTGGTTTGCTCCTTCTTTCCTAGCAAACTTTATATCGTTGTTATCCTTTTCGCATATGTTACTCTATAATACCTCTAATCTTCGGGCATTAATATTACCTTCTTTTGTTGCAAGTGCCGTAAAACTCTTACTAAAACTTTAAATTTCTTGAAAGGAATTACATCATGTATATCGATTCGAGTAGCCTGTTGCTGTCGTCTGCGCTGTTCTTGTCATGCTTGAAGCGCCAGAAAAATATGTGGGAGGTTGGCGGGTGCTCTG